CCTGTGTCCTCCCTGTTAAGACGTCAAGACCTATGCACAACGCAGTATTATTTACCAAGGGCCTACTGGATCCCCATTGGACAAGCTCCTCAAACAACTTCAGTGGAGATCTAGGTATTCCAGTCTGAAGCAGATTCCTTGGGGAGTAGGACCAGGGGACACACAAGGCCCAAACCTCCTTGCTCCCAGAGAAGTGAGATCATTTTCCTGGAGTCACACATTAAAAGAGAGGAAAGGCTGAGTGTCCCACTATCTACCTATGCCCTTTCTTCTGGCATTGGTTTCATCAGGGACTTAAGACTGCAGTGTACTCCTGCCTTAGTCCGATACCAAATGTGTTTAGGGCCAAGAAGAGTGTCCCCAGAATCGCCTTCACTTCTTCAGCTAAGGACCTAATCTCTCTGTCTCTGTCTCTCTGTGTCTCTGTGTTTCTGTCTCTGTCTCTGTCTCTCTCTGTCTGTGTCTCTCTGTCTCTCTCTCTCTCTCTGTCTCTCTCCCTCCCCTCTCTTAAGTCTGTATCTCCCATGCAATTGCCTTTTCAACTGTTTTCCCCAAATGCACAATTTCTGATTCAAAAGCCAAGGTCAGAGTCCCTGCTGCTTCCTTCGGCCCATCCTCCATCTCCCGGGATATGCTCAGTTACCCACTTCCCATCCTGGTGGCAGAAGCATCCTTGGCCTCAGAGGGCAGCCCGAGCCAGGTCATTTTTTTCCTTTGTTGGTTTGGCTCAATGTTCCAAGGCACTTACACGGAATGGAAAGTGGAACTGGAACTTTGTGCACACTATTCAGGCGCTCTCCTCTGGGCTCTCCTCTCAGCTCTTGGGCATGGTAGACAGTTAGATCGCTTTGCTTGCCTTCTTTCCAACCCCCCTTTTCTCTTTCTTTTTGTTAGACTTCAGGACATCTGATTATATGTAATGATGAGATATTTTGTGGATGGGACCCAGGTCTAAAAATAAAATGTATTCATATGCATGTGTAGGCCAAAGGTAATTTGGATAGGTTTGGATTTTGCTTTTTTGTTTGCTTTTTGAGACATAGTCTCATGGTGCGGCTCATGTTAGAATGAATTCACTATGTAGCCCAGACTGGCTGGTGCTGAACTCAAGGCCCTCCTACATCGGCCTATTTGGAAATAATTTTTTATTAAATTTTTGGTATACTCCCAACACATGAGGTCAGGGGGGACTCTGCCATGTATGGTGTCATGTTTGTGTAGACTGTGTGTGTATGAGGGGGGGTCTCACTCTGTAGCTCAGGCTGGTCTAGAATTTCCTGTGTAGCTCAGACTGGCTTCAAACTCACACAATCCTTCACACTCAACTTTCCTTTACATATTGATATTTCTCTGATTGAACATCATCTTGCAATGTCTTTTAATTTTAGCGGGCTGCACGGTGTTGGATGCCTGTCATCCCAGGATGTGGGAGGTAGAGGTAGAAGGATTTCAGGTGTTAGGTGGGCCTAGGCTACAGAGTAAGACCCTGTCTTAGTAGGATATATTACATAAATAAATCCACTCATTGCTCTGAGGAAGCATCCACGGAGATCACCATGTCTGCCCATGTTGTCCGTGTCTGGAAAAGGCAGGTAGGCATCCAAAAGACCCTGGGCTCTGTCCTAGCATCCAAATACCAATTTTAGTACACATGAGGATATTGGAGACTTTGGTATCTGAAAAGAGTATTGGAAACCAGCTTGCCACGATATCCAGGAAAAATTGCCCAATACTTTCATCGTCAACCAACCATGTACTTTGATAAAGGGAGTTGGTCGTTTAAGTATGCGCAGAAGCTACAGAGATGGCTCAGTGGTTAAGAGCACTGGCTGCTCTTCCAGGGGCCCTAGTTAGGATACCAGCACCTATATGGACCAGTTCACAGCTGTTATATGTATATTCAGCTGCAAGGGATCTTACACCCTCTCTGACTTCTATGGGCATTCACGCATGTAGCATACACACAGACAAACACACATTTGAAAAGTAAATATTTTTTTTCTTTCTTCTTTTAGTGTGCTGGGCAATTGAGACATCCATGGTGTGCACATTAAAGTCCTTCCACAGACCTCCCATCTTACCGATGAGTCAGTGGAGGTCGGACCAGCATCCTTCTCTGATCCCAGCAAAGTATTAGGTCTCCCGCTGTGTCCTCTCTGGTATCTGGACAGTTTGTAATCTGGCCCCTCTCAGCCGTCCTAGACCTCTATGGGGCCTGGGACAGAGAGTCGGGGACTCAGAGTCCCCAATGCAGGTGTCAAACATCCCTTCTGAGTGCCCTGGCTCCAGGGTCCCCATCCTGAAGGGTTTCGCTGAGTGGGGCTTTCAACAGCCTCTGAGAGGTGGCAACAAGTTTCAGGCAGGGTAGTGCTGCCCAGGCTTCAACTCCTGCAGGCCAGCAGTGTGTGGGGACCAGGAGTAGGATTCCAGGGACATCTGGGTATTGTCAGCCACTCATTTGTCTAGACGGTAGGCCAGGGTGGCCGATGGCTGGAGTGGGGCCAGACCCAGCTCCTGGGGAAATAGAAGAGTGTCCCAGGAGCTGGCTGTTAGTCCTGCATAGAGCCCAGCCCTCAGTGCAAGGGAAAGTCAGTGCTGATAGGAGAGGGTTGGGTAGGTAGCTAGGCTGCCTGTATAGTGGGAGGCTCAGCTCTGGGGACCCTCATGGGGGAGGCAGACAGGTACAGGGAGGGCATGGGGGCTGGGCTGAGCTTACCCTCCTACCCACTTGAAGATTCTTGCTTCAAAACTCCCGCTGATGGCTTCCAGACAAGTCGGCACCAAGGGTCATTTCTGGAGGGCCGTAAGCGGCATCATAGTAGCTGCCCTCACATTCCTCCCCATCCCCGCCCAACTGTCTGTACCTGAAGCAGGTCCTTGTTTATTACCTGCTGGAGAGGCCTGGACACACACACACACACACACACACACACACACACACACACACACACAGGGCTAGTGCTTATCTGCCTACCCTGTAGGCGCCCCTCCCTGCGTGTTCTTTTAAAACAAACTATCAACTGTTTGTTAAAGCAAAACAAACATAAGTGTTTAGGAGAGAAAGAGAAAAGGATGAGAGAGAGAGAGAAGAGAAATGAAGGAATCTTTTAATTTGCTACCTTTAAAATCCCTCATTTAAAATAGTTCTCTTGGGGCCCAGTTAAAGACATTTGCAGTCAAACCTGATGACCTCTGTTCCTTCCCTGGGACCCATGCAGTGGAAGGAGAGAACTAACTCCTAAAGGTTAGCCTACATACATGCACAAAAATAAACAATGTAATTTTTAAAAATTAAATAAACAGAATAACTTTTCTTGGACCTATGAATTGACTCAGCAGATAAAGGGGCTTGCCACACAAGCCGGAAGATTTGAGTTCAATCCCTAGGACCCATGTAAATGTGGAAGGAGAGAACTTATTACACAAAGTCATCTCTGACCTCCAGAGGTGTGCTGTGGTACCCTGCCCCCAACACACACACACACACACACACACACACACACACCAATGAATAAATAAATACTTTAAATCATAAAATACTTTCTTAGGACACAGAAGTGGAGAATGGGACAAGGCCCAGCTCTCCACCATTTCACCCCATCACTCTAAAAGAAGCCTCTGGGGGGTTGGGCATCCCCTCCCCAACTGGCCAAGTGCACTCTGGGAGAAAACTAGGGGAGAGCCCTCTTCTGAGCCATCCAAATGCCCCCAGCAGCACTGCCTGCACCATAGGAGGAGAGTAACTTCAGTGAGGCCAGCCACAAAGGGAAACTGGCTTTCCTGCCCAAAGGCGGGCCACATACTGCTCGACCCTCTACCCCAAAGGCCAGCTTGGACGTACCAGGAAGTCCCCCACCACCACGTCCCCAGAGTCAACTCACACCAAACCCTTTCTAAGTTGCTAGCATTAGATTCTGTTGATGGTTTTGGAAGCCATGTCTCCCAAGGCTGGAGGCTGCTTTGGGAATCTGTCTGCTTGTTTGGGCAGCTCAACTGTGCTTTCACAGAGGGGTTTACACCCTACTATATAATCTTATACCTACATCCGAGTATGGGGCCTGCATCCTACTGCCCATTTGCCCCCTGCCCCTGTCCTGGCCTATTTCTTTCTTCCCACTGCCATCCTTGACTGACCTGCCTCACTATCTCTTTCTTCCTTGTCTCCATCCCTCTCTTCTCTCTGCCCTGACCCCAGGTCTCTCCTAGTCTCCTAGATGTCTAGAGTTCTTCTTCCTGGATGGATCTGACAGTCGGCTCCTTCTTACCCTGAGGGACTGGAGAAGATATGGGCATAACAGGGGTGGGGGGAGCAGAGAAGGCATCAAGTTGGACTTGAAATCAAACATCAGGACTCAAAAACCAATAGGGGCATTGACTCCGGGGCAAGGAGAGAAAGGGATGCCTTATCTCTGACTCGCCTACAGTTTTTGAGGTCATAGGATTCTGGTAGAGAAGGTTTTAATATATGCCGGGGAGGGGGGATTCCTTTGAGAGATAGAGAAAGACCCAGAGAGTGATTATAGAGATAGAGAGACGGCTCAGTGGTTAAGGGTGTTTACTGGTCTTTCAGAGGACATGGTTTACCTGCACCTGCACCAAGTGACTCACAAATGCTTGTAAGTCCAGCTCCAGGGGGAATCTGATACATCCGGACCTCAGACTCCCACAAAAATGCTCACATGCACACACACACACACACACACACACACACAGTTGAAAATAACAAAAATCGGGGCTGCAGAGATGGCCCAGTGGTTAGAGCATTGTCTGCTTTCCCACGTGGCAGCTCACGACTGTCTCTAACTCCAGCTCCAGGGGATTCAACACCCTCACACAGACACACGTGCCAGCAGAGCACTAATGCACAGAAAATACAAATAAATTAATCATTAAAAAGAAAAATAGGTATTTTTTTATTTACTTAGTTTTTTCAAGACAGGGTTTCTCTATGTAGCTTTGGATGTTCTAGAACTCCATCTGTAGACGGGGCAGTCCTTGAGCTGACAGAGATCTGCCTCCTGAGTGCTGGGAGTAAACGCATGTGCCACTGCTGCCCAGAAAAAAAAATTGTTTTTCAATACAAAGTTTCCCTGTAAAACAGTCCTGGTTGTTCTGGAACTCATTTTGTAAACCAGGCTGCCCTCGAACTCACTGAGATCTGCCTGCCTTGGACTCCCAAATGCTGGAATTAAAGGCATGCATCTTTAAAAAAGAAAAGAAAATAGAAGCAGAAGTATAAAATACAGTGTGTATTGACCAGAACAAACAAGAGCACACACACAGAAACAAAATGCCCCAAAAGCAAGAAAATGAAAAAAAAAAATAGGGCTAAGGGTATAGTTCTGTGGTAGATGCAATCTATAAGTTCACCCAGCACTGGAAAAGAATGCAATATGTCCAGATAATCTACATATGAAACAGGAGCAGGGCTGGAGGTGTAGTTCAGTTCATAAAGAGTATGCCTAGTAGGCAGGAAGCCCTGGGTTCCATCCCCAGAGCCACATAAATTGGATACAGAGGTCACACCTGTAACCCCAGAATTCAGAAGACAGAAGCAGGAGGCCATCCTCAGCTACATATCAAGACTAGCCTGGACTACATGAAACCCAGTCTCAAACAAACCCAAATAAAACAAACTGGGAGCTGGAGATGGCTCAGGCATCCAGAGAACTTGCTGTTCTTGAAGACGACCTATGTTCAGTTCCCAGCATCCACAAGGCTGTTCACAGCCATCTGTAACCCCAGCTCAGGGGGATTTCAGCGCTGTTGGCCTCCTTAAGCAGCACCAGAACTCACGTGCATATGAGCGTGTGCACACACACACACAGAGTTCAAAATAACGCTTTAGATCCAGATAACATGGTAGTGTACTCTTCCAAAGCAAGCGCTTGAGAGACTGAGGCAGGAGGATGGCCAGTTTGAGACCAGCCTGGGGATGTACAGCAAGACTCTGCCTCAAAAGAAAAGGTAACATAACATAAAAATTCCACCCCAGCTGCACCTGTGAAGTGAGATCTGAGCGTCCCTTCTGAATCTTTAATTTTCTGTCTTTATACAAGGCTAGCTTAGCTTCCCCTCCCCCACCAGACACCTTTCCAGAGCTTTTTGCCCCAAAGGATCTGCAGACAAGTCTTGCCTTAGCTCAGGGTAATCCCTTCACAAAGACTAGGGTCTGGCTAAGCCTTCTCCAAGGCCAAACTCAGTGCTTAGCCAAAAGCCTTTTCTGTACAGAGGGTTGCAAATGGCCCCGGGACAGCAATCTTAACTTTCAGTGAGAGGTAGCAGTTTAAACAACCTGGGAGGGGGGGCAATGGGGGCCTTGGGAGGTTGGTTTAAAGGATCACCAGAACTTAGAAGGAGGGAAAGTGTGAGAACACCCACAGGTAAATGGGGGGGCGGAGGTGGGGGGTGGTGGGATGGGGTGGAGGGGGGGGCCGTGCTCCAGTGTTAGCAGGGCAGCCTCAGGGGACTGGAGGTCCCAGCAAAGTGGAAGAGAGGCACCTGAGGAAAAGCTACTCCTTGCATGCCCTGGCTTCATCCTCTTGTTTATTTCCATGATGGAGATGGAACCGGGGCCGGGTGTGGAAGGATAAATTCTCTACCACTGAGTCACACCCTCCTCCTCCCCTTTTCTCCCCTCTCCTCTCCCCTTCCCTCCCCTTCCTGCCTTTTCTCTCCACTCCTCTCCTCTCCTCTACACCCTCTTTTTTTCTTTCAAGTCAGGGTCTCAATATGTAGCCCAGACTGGCCTCAGATGCAGATCATCTTGCCTTCACCTCCTCAATATATGTGTATCACTGTGCCCAGCCACGCTGTGATTGTATGCCTGGGTGCACAGTGTGTGTGTGTGTGTGTAGAGAGAGAGAGAGAGAGAGAGAGAGAGAGAGAGAGAGAGAGAGAGAGAGAGAGAGAGAGAGAGGACAACTTGTGGGAGCCAGATCTCTCCTTCCACTATGAGGGTCCTAGGAATCAAATTCAGGTCCTCAAACTTAGCGGCAAGCACCCTTACCTGCTGAGCCATCCAACCAGCTCTCTGCCTTATTTTTTTTAAACAGGGTCTCTCATTGAACCTGGAGCTCACAGATTTTGTTAGACTGTCTGACTCGTGAGCCTCAGAGACTCCCCTGTCTCGGCCCTTCCCCGGTGTTGGAGTTACAGTCAGGTGTTACCAGGCCCTTTTCATACAGGTTCTGGGGGTCAAACTCAAGTCTCCCTGATTTGTGTGGCAAGCATTTTACCAACTGAGCATCTCCCTAGCTTCAGGTTTCCTGTCTTTCTTTCTTCCTTCCTTCCTTCCTTCCTTCCTTTCCCTTCCTTCTTCCTTTTTTTAATTTTTATTTTATTTTATGTGAATTGGTGTTTTGTCTGCATTCATGTCTGGGTAAGGATGTTGAATACCCTAGAACTGGAGTTGCAGACAGTGATGAGCTGTCATGTGGGTGGGGAGTATTGAACCCAGGTCCTCTGGAAGAGCAGCCAGTGCTCTTAACCACTCTCTCCAGTCCCTCCTCCTCCCTTCCTTCCTTCCTTCATTCCTTCCTTCCTTCCTTCCTTTCTCCTTCCTTCCTTTCCCTCTCTCTCTCCACCCCCTCTCTTTCTCTCTTTCTCTTTGTCTCTTCAAGGCAGAGTTTTGCTATGTAACTTTTTTTGGAGCCTGTCCTGTAACTCCCTCTGGAGACCAGTCTGACCTCGAACTCACAGCTATCTGCCTGCCTCTGCCCCCCCTTTTTTAATGCAGTGTTTACAACATGAAAAAGTAGAGTGATTAGGAGAATGAACTCCTATATACTTACATGAAATCTACCTATGTACTACATGAAAGTTACCAACGCATCCCGTAGCTGACCTTGTGTCATTGGTATCTCTCCCCGATGGGTTGCAGTGATGTAAAGTCACACAGGTGTCATTTTATCTGAGATCCTTCAGTGAACATCTTCAGATGAGGAGGACGATGACGATGAGTGGACAGAACAAACCCAGCCACAGGAATCACAGGCCACCTGGACAATAGTGATTGTATGAAATTCCCCCAAGTACATCCACTTCCCATCCCCCCAGACCCAGTCTAGATCCAAGAGACATTCTGCAGCTCCTGCATCCACCTGCCTCCACCCACCTCCCCCAGTCCCTCTGCCCTGTGCTGAAGTCAATAAGCACTCTGCTGCTGAGCTACTTTAACACCCTTCCCTCTTTTCTCTTTTTGAAAACAGAAAAACAAACAAAAAACAAACAAACTCTGGTCATTTGTATCCCTAAGGGTCACCTGTGCTGTGCCTTGGTTGTTGAGCAATCAAGTCCCATGCCCACCTGGGCCACATAGCAAGCCCGTATCTAAAACCACCACTAAAAGCAAAACCCAAGATGGATATTAAGAAGGATAACATTCAAAAATAAATGTTCGCCGGGCGTTGGTGGCGCACGCCTTTAATCCCAGCACTCGAGAGGCAGAGGCAGGCGGATCTCTGTGAGTTCGAGGCCAGCCTGGTCTACAAAGTGAGTTCCAGGACAGCCTCCAAAGCTACAGAGAAACCCTGTCTCAAAAAAAACCAAAAATAAAAACAAAAAACAAAAATAAATGTTCAAGGTGGGCATGGCCTGTTTCTGTTCATCAGCACTTGGGAGGTGGAGACAAGAGGGTCAGGAGTTCAAGACCAGCCTGGGAAAGCCAGAAGAGTTTGTTTAAATTTAAAAAAGTCTGAGGGGGTGATGATGTAGCTGAGTTGGTACAGTGAGTGCTGAATTTGATCGATCCCCAGAACTGCACAAAACAGTTACACTCCTGTAATTCCAGTACTTGGGGCTTGGAGGCAAGGGGATGAGAGACGGTCGAGGCTGTCTTTAACCTCATAGCAAGTTCGAGGCCAGCCTGAACCACATGAGATATAGTTTCACAAAACAAAACAAAGGGCTGCAGAGTTGACTCAACCCTTAAGAACACTGGCTGCAGCTGGGCATTAGTGGAGTGTGCCTTTAATTCCAGCACTTGGGAGGCTGAGGCAAGCAGATCTCAGTGAGTTCGAAGCCAGCCTGGTCTACAAAGTGAGTTCCAGGACAGCCAGGACTGTTACACAGAGAAACACTGTATCAAAAAACCAAACCAACCAAACAAACGAAGAAAAACAAAAACACTGGTTGCTCTTCCAGAGGAACCCCATAACCTGGTGGCTCACAACCCTGAGTAAATTGGTTCTGAGGGACCTGACACCCTCTTCTGGCCTCTTCAGTCTTCAGGAACACCCAAGATGCACAGACATACCTGTAGGCAAAGCATTCATAAACATTAAATAAATTTTTTTTTTGGTTTTTTTCGAGACAGGGTTTCTCTGTGGCTTTGGAGGCTGTCCTGGAACTAGCTTTTGTAGACCAGGCTGGCCTCGAACTCACAGAGATCCGCCTGCCTCTGCCTCCCAAGTGCTGGGATTAAAGGCGTGCGCCACCAACGCCCGGCTAAATAAATCTTTTTAAAAAAGAAAAAGAAATTAACCCGGTGTTAGTGGCACACGCCTTTAATCCCAGCACTAGGGAGGCAGAAGCAGGTGGATCTCTATGAGTTCGAGGTCAGCCTGGTCTACAGATCAAGTTCCAGGACAGCCTCCAAAGCAATACAGAGAATCCCTGTCTCTAAAAACAAGCAAACAAAACAGAAAAAAATTTTTTTGGCTTTTTTCCCCTTGGTTTTTCTGAGACAGGGTTTCTCTGTATAGCTTTGGAGCTTGTCCTGGAATTAGATCTGAAGACCAGGCTGACCTCGAACTCACAGAGATCCACCTAGTGGCACCACCACACGGTCAAAAAATGTTTTAAATGAATCAATAAATACATAAGTAAGCATATATAGTCTCCCTGTATCTGGCCTGCCCATAAAGTGTCTAGGGCTGGTGAGGCCCTCACTATCACATTCTAACTCTATGCAAAAGCAACCCCTGCAGTTCTGTAATGCTGTCTCCTTGTCCCTCCCCATTCTGCTCTTCACGGGTCCTGCAAAAATCAAAGGCAGACTCCCCTGCCCCAGCCCCCCCACCTCTGTCCATTTGGGGGATCCAAAGTGATGATATGTACAAACCGGAAACTGCCCTAGGGAAGGGGGACATTCTTCTTCTGTTCACTTTCTTAGTTTTCAAGTCCCCACTCCCTGAGAGCAAACGGCAGGCTCGAGCAATGGCTCATCCAGAGACTTTAAACAAACCACATTGCCCGCAGCTCTGCCTCCTGAAGAAGGGGATTTACTTCTTATGCCTGCGCCCGAGGAGTGTTAACAGCAGAATTAAAGCTGGGGGATCTGGCAGGGGCTTGCTTTCTGCAGGGGAGGTGTGCCTGCACCTCATGGAAAGGTATTAATGGCCTGTTTGTACAGTAGAAAGAAATCACGTTGCACACCTGGGAAGAAGACTGTGTGGACTTCTCAGAATGCGGTGGTGCCATCCAACGCCTCCCATTCGAACTACCCCAGCTCTCCTAGACCTATGTGGGGTGAAGGCAGACCTCAGGAGGGCAGGGCTGCCATGGGGACATCTCCTGATTCCTCCTTTTATTTTAGTTAGCGGTGCTGGGGACAGAGCCTGTAGTCTATTGAACTACAACAAGCTGAACAATTTTCTTTGGTTATCTGAAGCATGCTTTTCATGCCAAAGGGTACAGTTTTTAATTGATTTCTTTCTTGTTTCTGCTTGTTTGTTTGGATTTTTGGCACAAGGTCTCTCTATGTAGCTTTGGCCGTCCTACAACTTGCTATGTAGACCAGCTTGTCCTTGAACTCATATAGCTCCACCTGCCTCTGTCTCTTGAGTGCTAGGATTAAAGGTGTTGGCCACCATACCTGGCTGATTTTATTAATCTTTTTTAAAAGTTTTTTTTAATTTGGTGGGTGTGATGTGTTGTACTGAAGTACACAAATTTGTCAGTGTGGGTATGTGTGTACATGTATGTGCCTGTCAATATTGTCTTTTCTCCGTTGCTCTCCACTATTTATTATTATTATTTAAAGGAAACAAAACAAAAACAGGGTTTCACTTTGTAGGCCAGGTTGCTCTTGAACTCAGAGATCTGAGTGGCTCTGCCTTGTGTGCTGGGATTAAAGGTGTGGGCCAACACCACCCGCTATTTCAGATGCCTTTTAATTGTTGGTTTTGATTCTAAGGTAGTTTTTCTCTTTTTTTCTTTTCTTTATTTCTTTTTTTCTTTCCTCTTCCTCCTCTTCCTCTCCCCCCTCCTCTCCTTTTTCTTTAGGCAGTTACAGGTTGGCCTCACTCTGTATCCCCAGCTGGCTTTGAACCCGTGGTAATCCTGCTGCCTTTTCCTCCCTGATGTAGGGATTACAGTTGTGAGCCACCGTGCCCCGCAGACGGCAGCTTTATTTGTTAAAAAGAGAGACCAAGTTAGACAACGTGGGCAGTCTAGAGGGTGATGGTAGCCAGCAGGCAGCTGCTAGAGCTAATTACAAATATTTACTGCATAAACAGTGGTGCTACTCAGATTTGAGCTAGTTTCCCCCCCCCTCCATCTTCATCAATAATAAATGAGGTACCCCATCAATCCAGACGTCTTCCTGCACTGAAAACAGAACTTGCTAAATGGACAGAAAGGGCTGGGCTGACCAAGAGCTACTGAGAACATTTTACATCTTAAAACCCTCAGCAATTTGGCCATGTGTTTAATAGCGTTGGCCTCCGAAGGTTCCAGCCCAATCCTTCTTCTCTGGCCAAGAACTCCACTTTACTGTATCCATGATACTGGATGGGTCTCTTAAAAAAAAAAAAGAGAGAGAGAGAGAGCCTTCTATGGCCCCTCCGTGGCCAGCACAGCCGGCTACCCTACTGTCTCAAATCCATTTGAAATGGCTGTAAAATACTTCAGGCTGAGCCTGGCAGTAAATCTTCCCCCTTTCATTCAGAAAGACTGACAAAAAGTGACTGCAAGATCTCTCCAGCTTGCAGGTTTCCACTCCTGCTGGGGCCAGCCTGACTTCTCTGACTTGTTCACCACATATATTTCCTACCCCGTTTCTCCCTGACCAGAGAAAACTTGAGGCATGTAGTCTGATGTGCGGTGTCTCGTCGGAGATGGAGAAACAATACGAGGCTGTAGGAGGCTGTACTTACTACTCCTGGCTCCCGGGGGAGGGGGGTGGGTTCGTGGTTTTTTTAAACCACTCAAGTGCCACTCTTTCTGTGGTGTCTTGGTGGAAAATAGTGAGATTCAGCTGGAAAACAGGTTTTTCTGGCTGATTAGGCTTAAGATGGATGTTTCTCTCGACAGAGGGGAAGCCAGGGACTGTCAGGAATGTTTCCAGGCAGGAAGGGCCGGGAGGATTCGATTGTGCTCCTGAACCCACCAGCTCTGAGGACAGTCGTCTCCCCACCTGGGCAAGAATTCTAAAAGACCAGCACATCCCTTAGGCTTATTGATTGGAACTTCATGGTCAAGGCAGAGGGACAAGCTGGCAGGAAAAATGAGCTCTGAGTTCAGAGTGAAAACAGCCAGCTTCAGACTCATCTATTCTGATAGAGTGAGCAAAGCCAGCCAGACGCTCTCCCAGTCCTCAGCGCCCAGCAACCGAGACCAAAGCTCCCAGCTCTCCCTGGGAGTGGGGCTTGGAGAAAACCCTTGGTTTGCTTGAAACTGTAGGAGATTTAGAAGCTGTTGTTCTCCAGTGGTGGTTATGACAATGAGGGAGACACCTCTTGGGAGTGAAATTAATTGGCATTGGCAGAATGTAGAAAGTATCTCTCCTCCTCTCCAGGCATCGTGGATAAGCAGAGAGTTTTTGAGATGAGGCAAGAGAATGGGTTGTGCTGGTTCCAGTAGATGCTAGATAAGCTGCTCTTCTGGGGGTGCTGAGAGACAGATTTAGGGGTCCCAGCCATTCCCCAGGAAAGAGTCAACCTTGGAAATGGGGAGGATACAACAGTGAACTCACACACACTCAAGCAGCCTCAGAACCCATGTGTGGCATTGCCATTCTTTCTCTGATGTGTTTCTGCACAATAACTATGGATTGTTTTAAAAGCTCAGATTGAAGCATCATCTACCACCCCAGCACTACTGGGAGGAAGACTTTACGTATAATAATTATTAGACTGGGCCCTCATAGCGCACAGCTTTAATCCCAGCGTTAGGAGGGAGCAAGCTCCAGGACAGACAGAGCTACACAGAGAAATCCTGTCTTGAAAAACAAGGGGAGTCAACAATTCAAATTACCAAAGGGTGAAAGTGTGTGTTGTGGGGGGAGACAGATAATGAGATTAATTGATGGGAAGAAGGAAATAATAAGATTTTGTAGGGCCTCCCAAATCTGATAACTTATTATTATTATTGTTATTATTATTATTATTAGTGTGTGTGTTGTTTTTCTTTTTCTTTTTTTTTCCAAGACAGGGAGACAGGGTTTCTCTGTGGCTTTGGAGGCTGTCCTGGAACTAGTTCTTGTAGACCAGGCTGGCCTCGAACTCACAGAGATCCGCCTGCCTCTACCTCTCGAGTGCTGGGACTGAAGGTGTGTACCACCATTGCCTGGCTACAAGATGTATTTTCTTTTCTTCTTCCTATTTATCATGGGTTGTCTGCCATGGGACAAAGGATAGTGTCTGGGGGATCCTCCCTCTTTTTTTGCTTGAGTGACTTTGTTTCATCCTTTGAATCTTAGCTCATAGCTTCTGCTATCAAACTAGGCGGGAGCCCTCCATCACATACCTTTTGAAGCATGCCTCAGTTTTGTAGAACTGATGAGAGTTATTGCATCATTGTGAGACCATTCCCTTGAGTCCTCCCTAAAGGTCTAGGCTAAGACCCTTCTGTCTGCTTTGTGTTAATAATGTTTTTAGCAACAAGTTCTTTTTGGTTGTTTTTGTTTTGCTTTGCTTTCCCAAGACAGGGATTCTCTGTGTAGTCCTGGCTATCCTGGAACTCACTCTGTAGACCAGGTTGAACTTGAACTCAGAGATCTGCCTGCCTCTGCCTCTGATGCTTCCGGCTTCTTGGGCATCTGTATTCTCATGCACAGATTCACACTCTCATTCATATAATTAAAAAAGAAATCTTAAGAAAAAGAAAAGGTCCCACAATAGATGGCAATCACTTGGTAGCTCGAACTAGGGGAGGTGAAGGAAGGTACAAAGGTCCCCACCTGATGCTGCATTGGCAAACAGTGATGTTGCATTTTGCTTGTTGCTTTGAGACAGGTTCTCACTATGTAGACCAGGCTGGTCTTGAACTCATAGATATCAGCCTATCTCTGACTCCTGAGTACTAAGATTAAAGGGGTTTGTCAGCATCCTTCACCCCATTTTTTCCCCGATTGAGTTTCTTGTAGCTCAGGCTGGCCTGAAACTCCCGATCCTCTTGCCTTCCTCTCCCAAGCCCTGGGACTACAGGTAATGAGTGAACCACTATATCTGGCCCAAATGTTCCTCTACTGTCACCGTTACCATGTCAGATACTTGATTCACAGTTGAGTGCCATTCCAGCCTTACATCCACCACCAAACACATCTTAGGGGTTTGTTTTTATTTTTACAGACAAGGAAATTTAAAAAACAGGCAGATTGAGTCCCTAACCCCAAGTAACAGATCAAAGAAGTCGTAGGGTCAGGATTGGTCAGTGTGGGATCCTCAGTGACTGACTATCTCTGTCAAGAGACCATGTCACCTGGGACCTACTGGTCCCTGGGCTCAGAGTCAAGACTCTGATCTTGAGCAATGTCATGCTGGGGAGATGTTTGCATGGGGGAGCAGGGTAGCTGGGCTGTGGAAGCCACAGGACCTGGGTGTGGGACGGTCATCTGAGGCACGAAATGGCTTAGAGCGAAAGAACAGACTTGGGTTCCCAGGGGTGATGAGTCACCCAATGGAGAGGTCAATTTAGCAAGCACCCCAGAGGCTCTGTTCAGTTCTCAGAAGTGGAGAGGAGATTGGCAGCTTGTGGGAGAAGCTGAGAGATGCTCAGCCAGAGATAAGCGGGACTAAGCAAAGGTCTCTGCAGCTCAGACCTCAGGGCTAATGGGAAAACACCCAACTCAGGGTTACAGCACATAAGTGGGGAGAAGGAGATGAGAGATACAGGCAGTGGAAGTGGGGGCTAATGGAAGACTTAAAAAGGCAATAAATCAGGCTTGCCTAGCTGGTTTCTACCCAGGAATTCTGCAGTGGGTGGTTAGCTCTTAACAACTGGATGGGGTCTCACCAGGCTCCCAGCAGGGGCAAATGGACTTACCTTGAGGGGATGTACTCCCAGGACAGGCTTGGCTCTGGGCTGGGAGGGGCCCTGGGGACACTTTGGAACCCCAACAAGTAGGAGTTTGGACTGGTGGTGGAGGCTGTCTCACCTCAGTCACTGGGGAACATTCTCCGCAAGAGTTAATCAGCCCACAGGGTGAAGAGACCACAGGACATTGTTTATTTACCTACTTCTAACAAAACCCTTCCCAGAAGGCCCGGGTGGTGATTCTCTGTAATTATATCTCTAGTGAGGTTCTGCAGGTTCCCTGGCGTGTTAACTCATTAGTGCCCGAGGTGCACCTGGAAGAAGGAAGGGCTGGGAATCAGAGCCATGCCCAGCTTCCACCTGTCACCTGGAGGGAAACTGAGGCACTTCTCTGGCTCCTACAGCTTCTCTTGCGTTCTAAGAGCTCAGGGACACAGAAGTTGAAGGTGTGTTTTCCCATGTATTAAGTGTTGAAAGGAAAATGAAGACTACCAGGCATCTAGGCGCGATTCAATTACTTTACTACCCAGGTATGCTGTGTGACATTGAAGAAAGTCACTCAACTCTTATGAACTTCAGTTTGATGGACAAGTGAAGAGCAGCGGATATGATGGGATGCATGCACTTCCCTCTGAGCTATAGAGAAATGTCAAGCTCCTTGTGACAACAAGAGTGGACTTAGGTTGAACTGTGGGCCGAACTTCACATTGTCCATAGCTGTGAGAGAACTAGGATTAGACTCTCAAGCACAGTGGGTAAACTGAGCCAAGAGTCCCACTTTCTTAACTCATACTGTGTTGCCAGTCCAGTCAGCCACAGGAAGTAACCTTGGTGGCTTCAAGAATGGTAGCAGAAGCTGGGCGTTGGTGGCGCACGCCTTTAATCCCAGCACTTGGGAGGCAGAGGCAGGCGGATCTCTGTGAGTTCGAGGCCAGCCTGGTCTACAGAGCGAGTTCCAGGACAGCCTCTAAAAGAATACAGAGAAACCCTGTCTCAAAAAACCAAAAAAAAAATGGTAGCAGAAATTCCCAGTATGTTCTTCTGCACTGAACTTCTGGCTCCCATTAAGGGCTGCAGTCTGTTTCCCTTTTCCTTGAATTTGGATAGATCCTGGAACCTGGTTGTACCAAAAGGACGTAATGCAGATATTGCCTGAAGTAGAGTATGGAGGGAACTTTCAGTTGGGACTGTGGCTCAGTGGATAAAGAACTTGCCTAGCTTACATGAAGTCCTGAGTTCAATTCCCAACACTACACACACCAGCAGTCCCAGTCCTGGGGAGGTGGAGGCAGGAGGATTAGAAATTCAAGGTCATCCTCAGCTACATGGGGAGTTCAAAATGAGTCTGAGCTTTATGAGACCCTGTCTCAGTGAAAAATAAATAAAATGAGCCAGGGTGTAGCTCAACGGTAGAATGCTACCTAGCATGCAAGATACCCTGGGTCCCTCCTCAGCATCTTTCCATTTTAGTTGCAATTCTCACTTAGGGCTTAGATTGGAGGAAAGAAACAACCCCTCCCCATCATCCATTCAGCTTGGATGTAATGCAAGGTTGCTTTTCTGAAGCTAGCAATCCCTCACCCTTGGACATCAGGTGCTTGATAGTAGGATGTTTGGATATACTTGTGAGCTGGGTCCAGAGATGCTGGGCTGCCCAGTGTGGAGCCCAGGTGGCTCACAACCCCTCTGGGGAGATGGTAGGACATGGATGCCCAGCTCCACTTCTCCTTAATCTACCCTCTTTCCTTGCCATCACCATCAATACTTCAAATAAACTGAGACCTGCAAGAAGCTGGAAGCCAGGTAGGTGGATTTCTGTGAGTTCGAGGTCAGTCTGGTCTACAGAACTATTTCAAGGCTACACGAAGAAACCCTGTCTCATAAAACCAAGAAGGAGAAGGAGAGGTAGAGGAAGAGGAAGAAGAAGAGGAGGAGGAGTCATCAGCTGGCAGCCAGGGTCTACAAGGAGTATCCTCATCATGACCCCCAGGGCAAATAGTAGAGAGAATGGAATTTGCATGGGGTCTGGGAACTAGACTGTCCCCCTGCCCTCTTGGAGGCTCCTATTGGAGTCATGGGTCTTGACTGTGACCTTGGAACTGATTTCTCAAATAAAGAGAACTTGGGCACATTTCAGGAGGTGCACAGGGAATTTCCTGGAACAGAGGCATGATTACCAAGCCTCGCACCAGACACTCTTTGCACTGTCAGCACCAAGATAGGCTCAAGTGTGCCGCTGTGGCACTTGGAGAAGAATTCAGAGCGTGTGTCTCCCAGCCACTCTCCCGGCCCTTCCCCCTACCACAGTCTTACTTTAAAGGAAGCATTAATTTTCTTAGTTGATTTTTATTATTTCCCAGCTTGGGTTTGGGGTGTGGGACAAGGGGATCTCTTTGCGTTTTCCTTTTCCTTGTGTGTAAACTACAAGATTGCTGTCCCAGTTTGCTTCCCTGTTGCTTTGATGAACACCGTGATTCAAGCAACGTGGAGAGGAAAGGGTTTAATTGGCTCACACATCCAGGTCACAGTCCATCACTGAGGAAACAGGGTAGGAACTCAAGCAAGAACAGAGTCATGAAAGATGGCTGCTTGGCAGTTGGTTTTTCCTGCCTTGTGCTCAGCTCCCTTTCTTACACAACTTAAGACCACCTGCCAAGGGGTGGGCTGGGCCCTCCTACATCAACCATCAATCAAGACAATGCCCCACAGACATGGCTACTGGCCCATCTGATCTGGGCCATCCCTCAGTTGAGATTCCCTGTTCCCAGGTGACTCTTAGCTGTGTCAAGTTGTCGATAAAAACCATCCTTACAATTGTCAATGGAATTAAGAATGTCCACACAGGGCTTGGGGTGAAGCTCAGCTGATATGTGTGCACACCTAGTACTCCTGAAACCCGGGTTCCATCCCCAGCACCACAAAGAACAGGCACAGTGGTTCTTGTCTGTGACTGGAGAGATGAAGGCTGGAGGATCATACATTCAAGATCATCCTTGGCTACCTAGGGAGCTTGAAGCCAGCCTAGGTTACCAGAGATCCTGTCTTAAAACAACAACATCGGCATGCCTGTGCTTAAATTGCTTAGGCTACTATCTACACACACGACTGATGGCTCTCTGTGTCTTCTTCATCTTCCTTTTTCTTGGTCCTGGAGAATAAACCTTGTCATTTCCACAGAAGAAAAGGGGGTTGGGGGAGGCCTGTCGGGTTTCTATTGCTGTGATAAAGACCACAGCCAAAGGTGACTTGGGGAGGAAAGGCTCTATTTGGTTTATGCAGCCAAATCACAGCCATTGAGGGAAGCCAAGACAGGAACCCAGAGGAATGCTGACCGCTGGCTTGCTCTCCATGGTTTGCTTAGCTTGTATTTTTATACAACCCAGGATCACCTGCCTGCAGTGGCACCGTCCAGAGTGGGCTGGATGCTCCCACATTAACTAGTCACTAATTAAGAACATTCCCCACAGGCAACCCTGGCTTGTGTCAAAAGACTAAACAGCGCAAGACTTTAGTGTGGAGATTCCTTTCCAAAAGCCAAAACAAACCTTTCCTTAGATTGCTTCTGTCCCATAGCCTGTCTCCGCAGCAGAAAAGAAACTAAGACATGCAGAAACCAGGGGTAGCTTGGCACGGCTGCAGAGTCTTGGTGGTGATGGAGGGAGGAGGTGAGGGCTTTGATGTCTCTTTGGATGTGTGGTCTTCTCTTTTAGAAACACAGAACACTTTACAAAATGTTATAGACGTGTGGTTAAGACAACACGTATTTCTTTTCCCATAGTCTAGAGTCCAGAAATCCAAGAACAAGGTCCTGAGAGGGTTGTTTCTGGTGGGGCTCTTCTCCTTGGTTGACAGACAGGTGTCCCCTGGTCACATCCAGTGCCTCTGCCTCCAGAGGGCTGGGATTGAGGGCACCCCTTGAGGAACCTGGCTTCACCTGAGTTTCTTTCCACACACGTCTACTTTGCTTTACTGTCCCCCACTCCTCCACCCCAGATAATAGCTGTCTGTGCATGTCTCTCTGTCTCTCTGAACCCAGGGCCTCCAAACACTCTACTGCTAATGATGCATGTCCCCGTTAAAATAAAACCTTTTACGAAAACAACCAAAATTCCTTAAACTAGGCATCATGGCTGACCCCTGCAGTCCCAGTAGTTAGGACTGTGTCAGGAGGATTGGGAGGTCAGTCTAAGCCACAGAGATCCTACCAAAAAACAAAACAAATGCAAAAAAAATTACCATGAATGGTGGTACTTTAATCCAGCACTCAGGAGGCAGAGGCAGATGAATCTCTCACTTTGAGGCTAGCCTGGTCTACAGACCTAATTCCAGGATGGCCTGGGTTATACAGAAAGACCATGTCTTGAAACCTATAATCCCACACCGATAAACGGAAGGAACAAGAAAGTATTTCCTGCATTGGAGGAGCAGGAAGCTGTTTGCAGAGCTGCGGGTTTCCCGCCTTGCCCACACAGTCCCTCCGTTGATAGGACAGCCCTAGAAAGGGATCTCATCACCGGTGGAGGAGGTATCGAGAGGTCATGTCACTTCTCTTGAGAGAAAGTGGCAGAGCTGGGCTCTACATCACTCCCTAGAGAGAGAGGCTGTGCCTCTAACCACTGCCTACCCCTCCTTTCATAAGACTAATGACATGCCAGTGCAGGAACACAGTGGACCCTGGGCCAGGCGGGCTACCGGGCATAGTGGCTGAGTTCTCTGATCCCTGTGCCCATTCGAGGGATAAAATTCTGTATCTTAGGCCAAGAATCCTTAAAGTACTTGTGACCTGGGTATCTGTGGCCTCCTCTAAGGGCCTTGAAGTGACAGCTGAGACCTGTCTAGTGATACAACATCGGGAGAATTTGAGGTTGGGTGGGTGGTGGTAATCACTGGCTTCCAGCCTGACAGGGAGGATGGATGAGATAGGGTATGGAAAGGAGCTGGCCCAGGGCCGGGCACTCTGAAGACCGGCTGTGTGGAACTTGTGGCTGGATACTGCTTACATGCTTTGAGGCTAGCTGATGGGATTGCTGTAAGACTGTGGATGGACAGAGCACTCCCTGAAACTGGGGGCTTTGGATGCACAGCACCCTACAGCCTTTGTAGAACACACCAGGGATCACCTCACCCATGGGTCCAGGTGAAGAACTTGAAGTTCTG